TGTACCCGAAGAACTCCATCAAGAAATAAAGAACAACTTATACCAAGACAGAAAGTTGCTTTAGACAGAACCATTAAATCGCATAATTACAACAAAACATTATTCGATAAAAATAGAAAAGAAATGGAATTCAACGTTGGAGATCTAGTATACGTAGAAAACGGAAATAGTTTAAACTGGAAAAATTAGATGATCTAAAAATCGGACCTTTTGAAATAAAAGAAAAATTATCCAACTCCATTTACAGAATTAATACAGGTCACAAGAAAGAAGAATCGAATATTTTTCACATTACGAAGCTCATTCCAATACCAGAAAGCATCAACGACGAGGACGAAGAGGATTACGAATAATACTAGCAGATCTGTTGAAAAATTTTGTAGCCAAAATTCTTTCCGCGGTAGGGAGATATAAAGTAGTACAGATACTACTTTACAAACCCATTTGAATTTTGCCGCGTAACTTGTCGGTAATAGAGACATCAGACAAGAGGAAGGAAACCGAGTGGGGATTAAGAGAACCACGTACACGAGGATAAGTAGGAGAATTCCAGACGGAAAGACTGATAACACTGTTCAACACGAATTTTGTTTTCCGTACCCACTAGGTGATTCTTGTAGAGCTTCGTACCCTAAACACGAATCTGGAAACGGAATTGCTGTATCACCCTCAGTTTTCGAAAAACACGAGTTTTTGTGAAAACGTACAATTTTGTTCCAATTAATCTTAATACAGTTCCAATTAATCTTAAAAGATAGAGGAGAGATTTCTGAATATGCTAACATCGATAGTTATAATATTTTGTGCTTTTGAACGGTTGTAAATGATCGCCAAAGTTTGAAAAAGTGTCGAAGTACATACTTTATACACAATACTTTTGCATATTTACGAAAAGTTGTTTACCTGACACGAAATCTATACACAGGATCTGATTCTGCAGACATTTCTGAAGAAGAAACTGTCCAACAGAAGTATAGAATCAGTTCTCAATTGTCACAGGTCGAGAAAATGTGTATTGGCAACGCGTGCACGGCGTTTTACCGCCACGCGGCCATCGCTAGCCTACCTCGGCTCGGCAGTGCCGTAGCTACGCATAATGGATGCGACATCGATAATATCTTAGGCTCCTAATTCCTGTATATGTTTATCATTTTTGATTTTTTAATCTGTTTATCTTTTATAGTGATACTGATATTAATCTGTTATAGTGGATATTGAAAAACAGAAAAAAAAATTGAATTTGTAGAACAGTGTAATTAGTATAAGAAGCAGAGATAGGGAAGAATAAGCTATAAATGCCGTTTCTCTATTTATAGGTAAGGAATCTGTAAATAATGTAAATAATGTAACGGGACTTTAACTAGTGCTTAATAAATACCAACTCTATTTATAGTGAAACACAGTTTCGTTTATTCACCTACCACGCAATACATAAAAGAAAGAGGTATTATATGTATATAACGCATGGTCGCTTCGTATGGAAAGTCAATGAATCTTCAAAAAGCGCCCAGGTCCGATTTCGAGAAATATAGGGTCTGTCAGTCACGATGGCTTTTGTCGTTTACTGACGATTCGAAACGGGTGGGCCAGGCTTGCTTTCGAGAAATGTAAGCAACGTCAACGATACAAGAGCGAGAAAGAAAGCGTGTATCAGCCTGTTCTTCTCGGCTCTTCCGAAACTCAACGAGCTCACATACACGCAATTGGGCATAGTGTGCGAAAGTGAGGAATGAGAAGTTTCCGGGGCCCCGATGCACAGTTGATTAAACTGATTTCGAGTCGTAAATACGTTTCTACCGAGTTATTTTTTTAATAAATGATGTGTTACAATTTAAAATAAAAAATAGAGAATTTGCGGTGTACGTATCAATGAAATACATCCTTAGGAATTTTAATAATCTTAAAATTTTTAAATACTCTTAATCGATTGATTACTCCAATGAAATTAATCGATTAATGTCCAATGATGGACCCTACAGCTTTAATTCACTTAAAAAATAATAAAATTTATGTAATTTTATTTTCTGTCTCACTTCCTCTTGTGTTAATTCTGAATCTGTTGATAACGTTGCGAGTGACACGAAAATGGTAATGGGGTCCCGGGACCCCAGAAACTCCGGCCGAAAAATTACATTAGGTGAAAGGCTGGTACAAATCTGTGTACTATGTGAAGTTAGCTCTAAGACATAGGGATATCAAGGTTTGATGTGAGAGCGAAATTCAAACCGACCAGCGTATTGTAATAAACAACGAAATCGTACGCTTTTCAACGTGGGCGATCAAGCTGGAGAAGGTAGAGAAAAAGGAAGGCATTTCTTAGAGATACTTAGTTTATTTTCTAAAGGCCGTGTCGAATCGGAGTTTCCGTCATTCCTTCTTTTAGTTTATTACGGACCGTGCCGAATTAGATATTTCTGTTAAGAGTTGCGATGGTCTTGAAACACTCTTTGCAAAGTGCGCACCAGTATGTGTCGCGATAATCAAACGATGATGGGTATAGTCGTCAAACACAGAGTATGTGTAATATGAAATTAGGTTGTAATAAAATGACTTTTATTTTTTTATTTCATTACTCACATTTATTTATTTACTTAAATTAACATTAATATTTTGCATATGAACGAAAAAAAAACATGAAAAATCAATTTCTTACATTAACTTGCTGTTAGAGAATGGTGTTGAGCAAAGCATGATACAATGCATAATGAATACATGAATCCGTAATTGTTTTTGTGATGACTACTAAAAGACATCGATACATTTACGAAAACTAATTCGTAGTACATATATGCGGTTTTGTTTATGTTAATTATTTATAATTTTTATTTGTTTGTTTCATTTCGTCTTGACCTCTAAACTGTTAAACATATTAAAATTTACAAATATAATTTTGTTTTCGCCAAAATTACAATTTAAATATCAAATTGTAACAAAATTTTACGCATGACGGTTATAGTCGTCATGACACAAAATTCTGCCACATCTTCATGACGGATATAGTCGTCAAACGCACTTAACTGGTTAAGGGTTGCTTTAGGCCGCTAGCTTCGTTTTCTCTCTCGACTCCCACGCTTTCTCTCACATGTGCCCGCGCTCCGAACATGGCCGCGTAGCCTCCACCTCCACTCGGCTCGGGGGTGGATCATCGATCGAAGACGATCCGGACAGATGGGGCAGGGCACAAACCCCGATTGGACCAGGACAACCCAGAGGGAGGATCGAGGAATATTCCGGAGAAGGGACGAACGCCTAGGACGACGAGAGGATTTTTGCGGATAGGCAGAACGATTTTCAATCTCAATCAAGTTGTATCTAGAAGTCGTACACTGAGCTAATTCCAACAAATACATTTTACCAAAGTATTTTTTTAACGTATCGAGTAGTTTTGATTTTTGCGCGCCTCGCCGAGCAGAGCGGTCAGTGTTCCACGGGCACCAATCTACCTCCTTTTCCCCTAAACCGCGAACTCGAGACGCAACACTACGAATTAAAAATCACCAATGTCATTCCACCAATCGGAAGATTTTATTTCCTGTGACTGATTCATTGCCGTCATATATTGTTGCGTCCCGAGATCGTGGTTTAGGGAAAAAGGACGGTGGGTTGGTGCCCGTGGAGCGCTGAACCGCTCTGCTCGGCGAGGCGCGCAAAAATCAAACGACTATGTAAGTTCGAAAAATGGTTGGTAAGATTTATTCGTCGTCGTCTCGACTTTTAGATACAATTTTGTTGACTTCCGAAATCGATCTGCTCCTCCGCGGAAATCTTCTCGTCGTCCTCGATGTTCATCCCTTCTCCGGAATATTCCTCGATCCTCCCTCTGGATTGTCCTGGTCCAATCGGGGTTCGTGCCTTGCTCCCTCCATCCGGATCGTCATAGATCGATGATCCACCCCCAAGCCGCGTGGAGGTGGAGGTTACGCGGCCATGTTGGAGCGGGCGCGCGTGAGAGAGAGCGTGGGAGTCGAGAGAGAAAACGAGGCTAGCGGCCTAAGCAACCCTTAAGAAAATTTATGACCCTTGTGAAAGTAAACGAAACTCGAAGCGAAGTGTCGCGAGGCCCTGCTGTGTGTCAAGACCATTGAAACTCTTAACGGAAATAGCTAATTCGGCACGGTCCGAAATAACTAAACAATAAACTAAAGGAATGATGGAAACTTGAATTCGACACAGCCTTTAGAAAAGAAACTAAGTATCTAAGAAATGCCTTCCTTTCTCTCTACCTTCCCCAGCTTGATCGCCCACGTTGAAAAGCGTACGATTTCGTTGTTTATTACAATACGCTAGTTGGTTTGAATGTCGCTCCTAATTTGCCTATCGATTATACATATTTCTGGGGCTACGTTCGCGTGGTCACGCAACAATACATTACATAAACATCTAGAAAGTAGGTAAGCGGGCCCCTTAGAGTCAGGAAGACGCCGCCCGAACAAAGTTTATGACTTTATGACTCCCGGCCTTTCTCGACCTGAGTTTTACCCTTGCAGGACACCGATAATTTTTGGAAGTGAGGACAGAATTAAAAATGATTTTATAAGACGAGCCCCTGCCCGTTCGCCGAAATTTGGCACGCAGATGTGAAAGAAAAAGTTAAGCTATTTACTATCCTTGCCTGGCCCAACTGTAGTATGGAAAGTTTGAATACAATCCCAGGCCCTCGTAACTCTCTGCGTTTAGGTGTCGCTTAAAACCTTCCAGCTGTGCTGTTCGCTACGAACTCGCATGCTTACAATAAATCTCCCCGTTACAATGGAATTCGAATTTCGCTCTCACATCAAACCTTGATATCCCTATGTCTTAGAGCTAACTTCACATAATACACAGATTCATACCAGCGGAGGTCGCAACACCTCCCTTCATATACAAAAGATGTTTCCAATGGAAACAACTTTTCAAAAAGAAAACAATACATCAATACTAACTTAAGTACGCAAAATTGAATGAATAAGTACTTTACAATAGACGATTATAACTATACCCCCTCTTCCCGCGCTAGCCCGCGGTAAACGAGCTACTCGGTCCACCCATTGTCACACAGGAAGCGCGAGTTGAAGAATAATAGTTATATCATAACATTTTACAGTAATAAGATATAGTTATTCTATTACTATATAGGTAATATTAAATCAATTATAGTACAACGCATAGCTGACATCCAGGAGTTATCAAACGCCCTAACCAAACTTATCTAAATATTCTTATCCAATATAGTTCATATAAAAGTACAGCAATATATCTAATACTTATGGTTAAACTATTTACACTGGATCTAGCCTTATACAGGCTAACTTAAGTTTATTCGCGTGAACTATTTTAGTCTTATTTTTTCCCTATAGCTATTTCAATAGTGAGATCGTTAAATATTTCAACTACTTTATATGGTCCTAGCCAACTAGAATCAAACTTAGATGTCTTAGGTTCTCTAAGTAAATACACATCGTCACCTACAATAAATTTACGGGGATTTACATTTTTATCATACCTTATTTTACTCCTTTCTTTTGCCTGTTCTAGGTTAATCGCTGCTGTAGCCTGAGTAGTCGTGATCCGAGTAAACAAATCATCTAGATGTTCAACGAAAGTTCGCGGTATTTCTTGGCGACTAAATTCTGATGGTATGATGGCTTTTGTACCGAAAATAAGCTCATGAGGGGAGAAACCTGTAGCTTCATGCACGGAAGTATTATATGAGAATATTCCAAAGCGTATCCAATCGTCCCAATCAGTTTTTCCACAATAATGCTTTAAATAATCTATAAAAACGCGATGTGCTCGTTCAAGAGAGCCCAACGATTGAGGGTGAAATGCCGTTGATGTAATTCTCTGTATTTTGAATATTTTGCAAAAGTTACTCATTATTTCACTAACAAAATTACTTCCCTGATCAGTTTGAATAACACGAGGGCAACCGAACCTACTTATAAACTGTTCTGCAAGAGCAACTGCAACAGTAATGGAGTCCATAGTTGGTATAGGAATAGCATCAGAATGCTTCGTCAAATTATCCTGCAGAGTCAACAGATACCGATTACCCCTTTTAGTCACAGGTAACGGTCCCACAATGTCCATTTGTACTTTCTCGAAAGCTCTCTGAGGGGTATCTGTTATGCGCATTGGCTGTTTAGTTTTAACAGAAAGAATTTTATTTCTTTGGCAGTTGGAACAAGAGCGGACAAAAGTTGAGATATCTTTCCCCATTTTTGTCCAATAGAAATCCTCCCTTATCCTTTTGAATAACTTAGTCACACCCTGATGGCCACCCACTACAGACTCATGATATTCCCGAATAATCGAAAGTCTTCTTGATAAAGGGGGAGAAATGATTTCACCAGTGCAAACCGTAATATTGTATTGTGAACTATTAAATGTCTGCTTTAAAAGATATTCAAGAGAATTCCATTCAATAGGCTCAATGTTATTGTTACTTTTAGATAAACTGATGGACATCACACCTAATGTTTCCATGAGATTTTTTAGGGATGATATTGAAGACGCGAGATGTCTAAAATTTTGTTGTTCAGCAGATTTCACCTTGGAAAATAAGTGGAAAATATGTTGGCTTCCACCGGGGAAAACCATTGCCTCACCCACGTGAACATTGTACGATTGTACCTGACCAATGGAAAACCTTCCTTGTGTTAACAAATCATTACTGATTTGTGAAGAAACTTGACAATCAGTAGAAAAAAAATGAAGAAGATTGTCTTTCCGCATATAAAGATGGTCCTTGCAATAAATGATACTTGGAAATGAAGAAGGAGGGGATGCTTGTACGGGTGGAATGGAAATTTGTCAAGAGAACTTTGAACCTATCATGGGTATGAGAGTCATTTTCATATACTTTTTCTACGGAGGATCGTGTCCGTTCTTTACCTGATTCTGTCATTCCTGAAGCACCAGACTCGCCCACACTCCGCCACAACCTCATCCGGGATAAACTGGTCTGCGCACAGCCAGTGCCACGAAATGAGTCGGGAATAAGAAGGTGCCGAGTCTCCGCTTTCGACACGAAACGGGGGCTCTTGTTGCCAATTTCTGGCAGAGCACTTTTACCCTGAGATACAGAGACAGCCCCTAACGGTGCCTGTGGCGGGGTGCCTTCAAAGTCGGCCTTTCCGATGTCCGACAGACTCCCGAGTCGAAACATGTCCTCCGTACCTCTGCGGAGCGATCCTCCACTCATTACGTTAGTATTTAAGTCTTTAGAGGATTTTCCTCCCTGGAGAGATGCTTCTATGGAAGGAAATGTCTCTTCCTCATCTGCCGTATGATACTCGTCACTATCATTTGAGTCCGAACCCGAATGATTTGTTTCGTTATCAGTCTCATTACACCCACTACTAAGTTCACTATCCACAAGAAAAACTCCCGCAACTAAACGTTCATTTTCGTCTCCCATAGAACCGTCAACGTCAATGTCCCCGACCTCCTTAGAGATTGCAATTGGCAAATCGTCGGCGCCTACGACAACCCTTTGCAAACGCCTTGGAGGGGAGGCGTCCGTACTTTCAGTCTCGGTATGAATTGTCAAGCACTTAGATGGAAAAGGAAAGATATTTTGAGAATCGACAAGAACAGGATTTCGGGATAATGCATCTGCATTGGAATTGATTTTCCCAGGTTTATAGACCATCTCATAATCGTATTCGTTTAATCTAATACGCCATCTCATGATACGGGAAGTGGGATCTTTTTACATTGTGCAGCCAAATCAGCGGTCGATGGTCAGTGACTAAAATAAATTTGTGGCCATACAAATACGGTCGAAAATGTTCAATTGCAAATAAAATCGCTAATAATTCTTTTTCAATGGTGGAATAATTATTTTCAGCGTCATTAAGGGTCCGAGATGCATACGCGATTGGGAGATCTTTTCCGATCTGACCCTGACTCAATACAGCTCCGACTGCATAATTAGAAGCATCAGTTGTTACGAGGAATGGCTGTTGAAAGTTGGGAAATTGGAGCAACGGCTCCGAACAAATGATATCACGTAAACTCTCGAAAGCGAATTTGACATCTTTACCCCAGACAAAAGGTACTTCTGCCTTCAACAATCGTGTCAGAGGTTTAGCAATTTTTGCCATATGAGGGATAAAACGTCGATAATAACCAACTAACCCCAGAAACTGTTTAACATTCTTCCTGGTTTTTGGAATAGGAAATGACTTAACAGCCGTGATCTTCCCGGGGTCTGGTTTCACTCCTTTGGCAGAGATAACGTGACCCAAATAGGCAACTTCTCGTCGCAAGAATCGACATTTCTCGGGTTGTAACGTTAAACCGGCATTCTGCAACCGAGCCAAGAGAATTCTCAATTTACGAGTATGCTCTTCCAAAGAATCAGCATATATGACGATGTCGTCCATATATACAAAAAGCTCGACTCCTTGTAAACCAACCAAAACCAAATCCATGCACCTCTGAAACGTGGCTGGAGCATTTTTAAGCCCGAAGGGCATATTATTAAATTCATAATGCCCATTAACAGTTGAGAAAGCGGTCTTGGATTTAGAATCCGGATGTATGGGGACCTGATGGAAACCAGAGGCAAGATCGAGGGTACTAAAATACTTGGCGGCCCCCAATTGATCCAAGATATCCAAAATATTAGGGAGAGGATACGCATCATTGATAGTCTTCTCATTTAACTTACGGTAATCTATCACCATGCGCCAGCGAGGCTTACCATCAGGGCCAGGTTTTTTAGGTACAACCCAAACAGGCGAATTATAAGGAGAAGCAGATGGCTGAATTATCCTATTTTCAAGCAGTGAGTCTATCTGTTTTTGTATTTCCTCTTTGTGAACTAGTGGAAACCGATACTGTTTCGTATTTATAGGTATTTCATCCGTAGTCACTATTTTATGTTTGATTGTACTAGTGGAATTTAATTTATCCGAAGGCAGATAAAATTGATACGGAAATTCATTCACGATTTTTAAAATACTAGCCTGTTCAGAATCGCTCAAACCCTGCATATCGAGAAGCTTCGCCAATTGAACGAGCCTAGTAGCATCGGCTTTGGACCGACCCTTATTTGGATTTCCCGTCCGAGCCGAACGCGGCGAAGGAGGAATTTCAATAAACTCTTCTAATTCAACGGGGGGTATTGAAAGAGTCACACTATCGTGAGTAGTATTAATAGCGAATATCCTAACAAATCCATTCTCTTGCGAGACCAGTACTTCACCTACGTAAACACCCGGCTGTGTATCTAACTTCCTTATATAACCCTCTTGTCTTTCAATATTTCTAACAGGGACGGTTAGGAGAGTTTTCATGCGAGGTGGTAAACTAACTGAAACCCCTGTATGAAGAGGCAATTCCTGCCCCCCAACCCGAAGACTATTAGCCACAACGTCCTTGAATGTTAATATCGCTTGTTGCTGCTCCAAAAATGGAATACCCAAAATTCCTATTCCCGAGATCGGAAACTCATCGTTGACGATCTGGAATTTAACGCCAATACCGAAAATTCGATGATCACCTCACCGAGAGTGCTAAGACCTCCTTTATCGATACCAACTATATTATAACTAACGACAGTATCCACCAACAAGCCAGAAATAATGCCTTTACGTTTTGATTAGATTAAGTTGGGAGCCAGTATCAATGAGAAAATTGCCAATTCCCTTATGGAATGAATTATGCGATAACCCTAAAATAGGCAATCGACCAACACCTTTCACGTCGAAGTGGAAGCATGTTCGTTTAACTGGGGACGCGCAATTAGGGGTTCGCTCCGTTTCGCGTTTCCCCGCGGAGCCCCCTTTAAGTTTAAATGTTGCGGCTTGGGTATAACAGTTTCACGTTGCATCCCAGTATTTTTGTAATTTCCCTTTTTAAAACAACGCGACTCGGTATGCCCTGTCTTTCTACAAAATTTACATCTTAACCTTTCAGGAGCCGATGGATTATGAAAATTCTTTTTTAGTTGAGGACAATTGTAACGGTAATGGCCTTCCTGATCACAATTATAACATTTAATATTGCTGATACTAGCGGTAGCAACCCGAACATTTGACGATGAAAATTGCTTTACGGGGTCTGCCATTTCTTGTTCCAATCTACTCGCGATACTAACTATATCATCAAATGTTTTATCCGGTTCATTCGAAATAAAAAGTCTCAAATTTTGATTCTGAAGACCACGTTTAAAGTTTGTGACGGCTGACTGATTTAATAAAGCCGCGGCTCCTATTAGCTGTTCGGAGTTAAATTTTTCTTTAGCTGCTTCTAACCCTCGGCTCAAAATTTCACGGCCCCGAGCCCCATAAAACTCTACCGACTCGTATATCCCTTGTTGCAAACCCCTCAGTTCGCCGTGAATCTGATCAACGTCGAAAGACCGAGCATACACTTTCTTTAACAGGCCAATGATCTCGCTTACTGTTGTTGGTTCTGGACGATTTGAAATTAAAATATCCGCAGGACCTTCGATCTTATTGCGAATTATAGTTAATAAATTTCCACGGTCGGAAGGTTTAACTCGGGAATCGATAAGTTGGCACTGTTTAGTGAATTTAAGTAGAGAACCAGGTTTCCCGTCAAAGCGCGGAATCAGGTCGGAGGCTAATTTTAACGATAGATATGAAATTTCAGATGATTCAACTGACGGCAGGCTAACAGCATTGATTACCTCAGGGCGATAAAATTCATTATCTAAACTCGGCGAATCAAGCCTTGGGGTACTCGCGCGCACCGGCAAAAGACTTGAAATGTCCGGTTGTACCATACAATCATTGGCCGGTTCTCTAAGAGTTTCAGCGGATACATCCCGGACATCAAATTCTCGGGATCTATTTAAACTAATTAAACGATTCCAACGTCTCCTCATTGCCTTACGACTACGTAACATTTTGTTGATATAAAATTACGATTTAAATAAACTAATTAACTATCAACTTTACTTTAAACCTAATCGAAAGCATATAAACTTATAAATATACGTCTTACGTGAACTATTGATTGTCTTTTCGTCTCGCACGTTGATTTCAGATAATTTCACCGTTGCAGCTCCTCGTTGTACTTGGGATACTCCAAAAGATCGTTTCCGCTCCGTTGTCGAGAGATGATGTGTGTCAGATTCCGATCGAATTGTACATGTGGTTCCAGGGAGTTCTCACACGGCCACTGAAAACCACCCACCTCTGGCATTCGCCCCTTTGCTCACGGGGAAACCGTGAAAAACCCGTGAGAGAGAGGATGTACCTTTCGCACTAATTTAACACACGAATGATCCACTCGCGAGCCGGCAAAGTTAATTGAATAAATTGTCTTTCAATTTCTTTTTCAAATCCCACCGCTGTCACCAAATTATGTTGCGTCCCGAGATCGTGGTTTAAGGAAAAAGGACGATGGTGTGGTGCCCGTGGAGCGCTGAACCGCTCTGCTCGGCGAGGCGCGCAAAAATCAAACTACTAAGTATGTTCGAAAAATGGTTGGTAAGATTTATTCGTCTTCGTCTCGACTTTTAGATACAACTTGGTTGACTTTCGAAATCGATCTGTTCCTCCGCGGAAATCTTCTCGTCGTCCTCGATGTTCATCCCTTCTCCGGAATATTCCTCGATCCTCCCTCTGGATTGTCCTGGTCCAATCGGGGTTTGTGCCCTGCCCCATCCGTCCGGATCGTCTTCGATCGATGATCCACCCCCGAGCCGCGTGGAGGTGGAGGTTACGCGGCCATGTTGGAGCGGGCGCGCGTGAGAGAGAGCGTGGGAGTCGAGAGAGAAAACGAGGCTAGCGGCCTAAGCAACCCTTAAGAAAATTTATGACCCTTGTGAAAGTAAACGAAACTCGAAGCGAAGTGTCGCGAGGCCCTGCTGTGTGTCAAGACCATTGAAACTCTTAACGGAAATAGCTAATTCGGCACGGTCCGAAATAACTAAACAATAAACTAAAGGAATGATGGAAACTTGAATTCGACACAGCCTTTAGAAAAGAAACTAAGTATCTAAGAAATGCCTTCCTTTCTCTCTACCTTCCCCAGCTTGATCGCCCACGTTGAAAAGCGTACGATTTCGTTGTTTATTACAATACGCTAGTTGGTTTGAATGTCGCTCCTAATTTGCCTATCGATTATACATATTTCTGGGGCTACGTTCGCGTGGTCACGCAACAATACATTACATAAACATCTAGAAAGTAGGTAAGCGGGCCCCTTAGAGTCAGGAAGACGCCGCCCGAACAAAGTTTATGACTTTATGACTCCCGGCCTTTCTCGACCTGAGTTTTACCCTTGCAGGACACCGATAATTTTTGGAAGTGAGGACAGAATTAAAAATGATTTTATAAGACGAGCCCCTGCCCGTTCGCCGAAATTTGGCACGCAGATGTGAAAGAAAAAGTTAAGCTATTTACTATCCTTGCCTGGCCCAACTGTAGTATGGAAAGTTTGAATACAATCCCAGGCCCTCGTAACTCTCTGCGTTTAGGTGTCGCTTAAAACCTTCCAGCTGTGCTGTTCGCTACGAACTCGCATGCTTACAATAAATCTCCCCGTTACAATGGAATTCGAATTTCGCTCTCACATCAAACCTTGATATCCCTATGTCTTAGAGCTAACTTCACATAATACACAGATTCATACCAGCGGAGGTCGCAACAATATACCTATTTCTTTTAAAGTAAAAATCAGTTTTTCATACTGTATATGCGATGAAATTTAATAGTTCAATTAAATTTGAATTCAATTTTTATCATTTATCATTCTAAATAGAAATTTGTTATATTTATTGACAACAATGCATACGAAGTTAGTATATTTAGTAAATGTTCACGTGTTGAATTTGTTATTATTGTAATAGTTGTTACATGAATTGGTTGTTACCTATTTTTGTGCATTTGGTGGGAAAGCGAATACGTGTATCGTACAAATGTCAACGTGTACATTTTTCGTGCATGGACATACATGGCATACTCTCAAATAAAAATGCAAAGAAAGTTAAGTATTTTAATATTTGTAGAAAAAATTATCATATTTGTTAAATTATTACAAAAAAATCTTTCTTTTTGTTCTTAAATATTAAATTAAATTACATTTTTAATATGGGATTAAACGTCAAGTGAGATAACAATAATTAATAACTTTTAATGATAAAGAAAATAATAGTATCAATTAATTGCAATAATTATATTCATTTAGACTTATTTTCATATTTGTCTATGATTATTTCCTTACATATTTCAAACATATAAGTATCAGACTTATGTATAAAATTTGTACATATTCCATATTGCGTTTATTATCAAATTTCATCTATAATATTATTAACATTTTATTCATTGACTAAATTATTTATGTATTTAACCTATACTTTTTAAACAATATTTTATGTATAACCATTTTATTAATGAAAAATATTATTTTACAGATATGATGACCTATTTAGTTTGTTATTAAAAATCCATCTATAAAAAGTAGAATTATGATTAGACCACAGCAAAATAAATACATAAGTATATATTGATTATTGTTAAAAAATGTATTGTATCAGTAATAATTATTTACTTTATGTTTAACAATTTGTCTTTCAGAAAGCAGTCAAGCATTAAAATATATCAGTTTAATTACTCTCACATTGCAAAATGCTGTCGTTGGACTTAGTATGCGCTATGCACGGACAAGATCTGGAGACATGTTCCTTTCTTCAACTGGTACATACATTATATTTTTATAAATTGATACTTTGTAATGTTTAATAGTTATACAGGGTGTTCGGCCGTCCTTGGAAAAATTTTTAATGAGTGATTCTAGAAGTCAATATAAGGCAAAAATCAAGAATAAAAATTTCTTGGCTGAGGCTTCATTAAAAAGTTATTAAAAAATTAAATTAAAAAATTTCAAATCATTCTGAAAAAATTATTTTTGGTTGCGGGACTCAATTACAATCATTTTTTATGAATACACATACCCCTGAAATTCTACCCACTTTCCAGAAAAAAATTCAAGTAGATACTGAAATTTTTAGACGAAATTAAAAAATTTCAAATCATACTAAAAAAAATTATATTTAGTTACAGGGGTCAATTACAAGCATTTTTGGTGAATAGACACTCCGAAATCCTGTGCACTTTCAAGAAAAAAATTCTTTACCGAAAATCTAATATGAGACCAGAAATGCTTACCTGAAATTTCATGTGAATCTTTAAAATATCATAACTCCTAAACGGATTAGAGGATTTTAATTTTTTAAAATGCAAACAACGCGTATTTTAGTGGAGAATATGTAGAAATTCTAATAATATTGAAAAAGTTATTCCTTGACATCGTAAAGTGAGAAAAACCCCCCAAAACTGGTCCAATTTTCAAACGGCCATAACTCCTACAATAGTGAACATATTACAATGAGACTTTTTTCTGTAGTAGAGCTCATGGGTATCTACAACAAAGTATTAGACAACTTCTCTGTAGAGCGTCAAACAAATTTATTAAAAATGAAAAACAAATTTTTAAGAAAAATCGACAGGGGTGCTGAAATTTTTCAGCGAAAAAAAATTTCAAATCGTTCTGGAAAAATTATTTTCGGTTGCGGAGATCAATTACAATCAATTTACAATCACTTTCTAGAAAAAAATTCAGTACGGGCGGAACTTTAAACGTTAATAATTTTTTAACGAATCCTCCATCAACAAATTGATATTCTTGATTTTCATCTTATTTTGGCCTCTAGAATCTCCCATTAAATTTTTTCCCATGGGTGACAGAACACCCTGTATAAAATTTATATGTAATTTATATGTAAATATTATTTACTAATGATTAAATGTCTTCTTTTAGCTGTTGTTATGGCAGAAGTTGTTAAACTTCTCACATGTCTGGTATTAGTTTTTATTGAAGAAGGAAATTTCTTAAAGTTTTGTAATTCTTTAAAATTAGCAATTATAAAACAACCAATAGATACTTTAAAAGTATGTGTGCCATCCCTTTTGTACATTATACAAAATAATCTTCTATATATATCAGTATCTAATTTAGATGCAGCAACTTATCAGGTATAAACCATCATCTCATATTCTTTATTTAGTAATGTTGTTGAACGTTTGTAAATATATTATTTCTCAGGTGACGTACCAACTAAAAATTTTGACAACCGCATTTTTTGCTGTAATTATACTACGAAAATCTTTACGAAATACTCAATGGGGTGCTTTAGTATTACTAGTTATAGGAATAGCATTAGTACAATTGGCACAAAGCTCAGACATATCATCTGGCATAGTAGAACAAAATCGTATACTCGGATTCTCAGCAGCACTGAGTGCATGCCTTTTGTCAGGTTTTGCTGGAATATATTTTGAGAAAATACTCAAAGACTCGGATGTATCATTATGGATGAGAAATGTGCAGTTAAGCTTATTATCATTGCCCTTTGGAATAATTACATGTTTCTTACGTGATGGTAAAATTCTACAAAAGCAAGGTTTCTTTTTTGGCTATGATCTGTTTATTTATTATTTAGTTGTGCTTCAGGCAGGAGGAGGTCTTATTGTTGCAATGGTAGTTAAATATGCTGACAATATACTTAAAGGTTTTGCTACATCATTAGCCATTATCATTTCTTGTGTAGCTTCTATATATCTTTTTGATTTTAACTTAACTCCCAAGTTTTCTTTAGGCGCTGTTTTAGTGATATGTTCAATCTTCTTATATGGACGTCAACCAAAACCCACATCCATTGATAAACATTCTCTAATCAATAAAGTCTGACGTAAACTAAAATAACTAAAATAAGTGATATTACTGAATACAGCAAATATTTTGACATATACATGCAGATTAATGTTTAGTACATTTTTTTATGTGAAGTGGTATCCAAACAATTGATGTATAAATACTTACATCATTTCACTTGATCAGTATTTCCTTATATAGCCTATATAAGAATTTGAGTTAACGTCCTAACATGAATAATAAATAATAGCATGAAAGGTGCATACACATTGTTTTATGAAAACATAGTTCAATAATCTACAGATGGTTAATATTGGCATAAACATGTTCAATACATATTTCGGTAAATTATTGTATCTTGTGCAAGAATTGATTACAAAATATATGAGCACAGTTTTACACCAAATTAACAAATTTATTATGTATATTGATATAAGAAATATTTTTATTAAAGTGTGCATTATATATTTAGATATATATATATCTGATAACAAGAAGTATCTCATTAAAACACATCTACTGAAAATAATTGTTTTTCCTTAATCCACTAATTCCATCAATAAATTCAATTATAGATATAGCTATGCGTTTATATTATAAAATTTATTCAATTTATAAAAAAAAAATATCTTTACACTTATACCGTACAGTGGTGTAACTGGGCATAACTAGCAATTTTGAGGCCTATGCTATGTTACTAAATTGAGCCAGGCCAGAAAAAATTTCACGCAGAGGATCTTATAAAAAAATTTGTTCTGCAGAAAAGCATGTAATGTGTAGCAATGTACAAATAAATATAAATAATTCATTAAGATTAATACTGAAACTTATTTGCCTTGCATGCTTTACAGCTGCTTAATAAAATATTTTTACAAATCTGTTAAGCAATTTGGTGGGGGATAGTGGGGAGACTTGTCTTGCATTTCAGCATAAGATATCTAAAATATCGGGTCACTGTAGTGAAGTTCTGTGAGTAAAATTTTTGATAGATCTCCACCGATCCAAATGTGAAGAATCACACTGTGGTGGACCGGGTGGACGTGACATATAATTTTATGACACTCTGTATGTAGAATGTACCGAAATATATTGTATTTATTAAATTAAAATCGGACTTCACATATTTCATCCCGGAGTAATTCTGAAGCACTTGAAAGTACTAGACAGTTTGTTATTCATCGCTTATCTATTACAATGACAGCTTAAAAGAAACTAAATGATTTTTAAGTTATTAGCTGTCTTAAAAATTTCATAATTAAGTTTCCTAGATCGTGTAAACGGACTGTAACTAAATGTATTACGCTTAACGTTATCGGGTGAACATAACTTCAATATCTCATGATCAGTGTTGCTAAATGGGTACGTTTTTTTTGCGCATGGCTTGTGGCCAAATCTGGCATAATTGAGTGCATCGAAATCGACATTAGTAAGGACGAACTTCCTTAGCGTCTAACGGAGTGGTGGGGATAACAGGCATACGTACCGCACGAGCCACGTGTACGTAAGCTCGGCACTTCGCAACTTCAGGAAATCGATAAAGAACGCTAATGTGAGCCTTTCCTTCTTGCTCTTATAACAGTTGAAATACGACCTCGCGATAATCGGCATACGATTCCAAGTCTCGACCTCGACTACATTTTTACTTTCCGACCTATGTATGTTACAAGTACCAAAATGAAAAAAAATTTTCCAAATTTACAAATTTGAAAAATACACGTTTTAAGACCCCCTGATCATATTGTGACTATTAAAAAAAAAGAAATTTTTTTTCTGTGCCTATTTACGCACGTATGCTATTAATATGATTGCGTCTAAACGGCGGAATGAATTTCAATGAAACTTTACATTTAAGTTTTATGTTCTCGTTTCAAGGTCTGATTAGATTTTGAGCGTGATCAGCTCCCAGATAATAAGGATTATACGTCTTCTGGTTTTTTTTAATTATTCCGATACATATACATTATTTATAAAAATTTTTTAAAACTTTTTATATAAATCTGAAAAAGGATTAAGATCAAATAAACTTGATCTCTATTTTTTCTACAGTGAGTAACGAAAGTATTCGAACGACATGATAGACAATAATTGATTCTATAAAAGTTGTATAATATTGCAATTTATTCAAACAAATAGTTTTTATACTATTGTACATACATTTCCTAAATATATGTAAACTTAGAGAAAAATTAAACAATAAGGGAACAAATTACATAACATTTTTCACGCATAAGTACATTTAACACGTAACGAAAGTATTTGAACGCTGAATTATAAGTACTATAATTTGTAAACACAAGATTGTTGCAAGGTCTAAATGTAAACAAATGTTCTTCAGTGTGCTTCGAACAGTATTTGAGAGCAAATGGAACCGAAAGTTAATCGTTAATCTGTAATTCAGAATAATGAATGGTAAAACATCAGAGAAAAGTAAACACGAACGAAAAATTATTGTTAAATTGCACAAAGAAGGTAAATCATATAAAGAAATTGCATCTCTTGTAGGCAGGAGCAAATCAACAATTTACTATATAATAAAAAAGTAAAATACTAATGGAAATATAGCCAATGAACAGAGATCAGGGCGTCCAAAGAAATTAACACCACGGGAATAAATACTGCTTCTGCGTGAAATAAAAAAAGATCCGTTTACATCTACTCCAAAAGTAGCAACAATGGTTGCTACAAACTTTAATAAAGAATTACACGCCTAATTATATCGAAGAATGCTATGGAAAAATAATTTCCATGGTAGAGTCCCACGAGAGAAACCATACATTAGCAAGAAGAATAAATTACTTCGATTAAAATTTGCCAAAGAATATATAAATAAGGACATAAATTTTTGAAATACTGTCATATTCTGCGATGAGAGTAAATTCAATTTATTTGGGTCCGATGGTAGAAGAATAGTGTGGAAAAAGCCAAATAAGGAGTTAAATTCAACAAATTTGAAGAGTACAGTGAAACATGGTGGAGGATCTGTAATGGTATGGGGCTGCATGTCTGCTAATGGACGTGGTAATCTCGTATTCATCGATGGAATCATGGACAAGATTAAATATTTAAATATTTTAAAGAAAATTTAATTGATAGTGCCGAAAAGTTAAACGTATTAAGAAATTTTTGCTTCCAGCAAGACCGAGACCCCAAATATACGGCCAAAATAGTACGAGAATGGATCTTATATGATGTTCCCCATACATTACCGAGCCCACCACAAAACCCGGACTTCGAGCATCTATGGAAAGAGCTCGATAGGAGACTTAAAAGGACTAATATAACATGTAAAAATTCTTTAAAACAAAATATCCTGGCAGTCTGGCACTCTATAGACTTAAGTGTTACCAAAAAGTGAGTTAATAGTATGGAAAATCGTCTTCGAGAGGTTATTAAAGCCAAGAGTGGCCGCCCAACTAGATATTAAGCTGCAATATAATCATATCTATTACGTTCTATCATGACTATTAAAACTGTGTTCGAATACTTTTGTTATGTCTTATATGTACTTATCTGTTATAAATGCTATGTAATTAGTTTACTTATTGTTTCATTTTTTTCTAAGTTTGCATATATTTAGGAAATGTATGTACAATAGTATAAAAACAATTTGTTTGAATAAATTGCAATTTATTATACAACTTTTGTAGAATCAATCATTGTCTATCATGTAGTTCGAATACTTTCGTTACTCACTGTATATGCTGTTATAGCAATGACTCATGCAGGTTGACGACAATATTTTATTTATACGCCTCGCGGGTCGCTGGGTCGTAGAAACGACAAGGATGGAGAAAGAAGGGGCGTAGACATACATACATAGCCTAGTCTCCGTAGGTTTTTAAAGGGCAATAATTAAAACTAAAATTCCATTGCATGAATATTAGTCAATTTAACGTATTCCATTTTACAGTAATGAATTCAGTGGGGAATAAAAAAAGAGGCAAGACGAATGTGGACGTTTTAATATACTGCGTGTGATAATATTACAAATAAATAACGATTTTTTACATCTTAATGGAAGGAGTGTAAGGAAACAATGAAAACTGGGCAAATCAAAGGTGATCCGTGGCCGTTATGCGTCGAACGATGCGACGCAGTCAGCCGTTCAGGCGGAAGTGTCTTTCCCTGCCTGGGAAAATGTTCCTATCAATGCTGGCGGAAAGTCCCCACGCAGTCCTCTTGACGAAGGTCTTTCAAGGGCCTTTGGGGGTGGTTTACGACCGGGCCTGGCGCCCGTCGTCGGGACCCGCTCCCCTACGCGACGCCTTGCCTCTCGTCGTGTCCTTTGTTCAAAGGGGAAAGTATCGGAATTTCTAACAGGAGGGAAATTGAGATCCATCAGATTTTCATTGAACGGCACGTTATTGTTTTTCCAATATTTCAATTATTTTGTTATGTAAACTTAAGTCAAATATACAACATTTGATTCTGTATAACAAATTGATACGGTTATTGAAAAACATAGCGAGAAAAGTCAGTATTAATCTATATCTTTAGAAAATATTTGTTACTGAATGTTGTTACAACGTGCACGGTATTGGTTAAGAGTGATTTTTCATTTTAATAAATTTTACTTATTTCAATTTCTAAATATTTATTTCTTAATTAACCTTTTACGAGTAAGACTACTTTGAACAACATTATTCTAAAATATTTGTGGAATACGTTTTTAATGTGGTTTAGGTAGATGTACAATGTGTTGGGATCCGGGTGAGAAACGTACACTCCGGACACACAAAACGACGCGGAAATAACAGTTTCGATAGACCGCTATCGTAATAAGGTTGAAAGAAAAAAGCCCGTGCTCTGATGATCCTTATATGTATATTAGGCTTTTCGCTGAGGAGGGGATGTCGGTGACCCTTAGTACCTGATGACTGGCTATCAATGACTCGTCCTAGATGAGACATTTGAGTACTTCGACCAGGATTCTGTACTTAAGATAGAAATGTGAAAAACAAGACTGACTCGGTTATTTTGGACGCAGCAGTTTCGATACGCTTATCAGCATTGAGTCATCAGGTTGGTCATCCAACAAATGTATAAGATTTTGTTTAACTTTTTCTTTCTAGAAAAGATAGAAAAAAAGTTTATTTGATCTTAATCCTTCTTAAGATTTATATAAATTGTTTTAAAAAATTTTTACAAATAATATATTGTCGTGTACACGTTTTCCACCGACTTAAACTCGTACGTCGCACGCCGAATTAACATTGTGCGAATTTTTAAGAACGATTAGTGGACTGTATTAGACGTGGATGGTCAATGTGACGACTCGAAAAAATAAATCTTGTTTTGCTATGTGTTCGAAAAATTCTTGATCGATTGGTTTATTTTTCAAGTGAGCGTCGCTCTTTATACAAAATGCGTTTGGACGGGTACTAATCCGAGAAAACGCTGATTTGTCAAAATAAGTAAGGCGGGAACGGCTAGCCCCTACAAGAAGTGGTAGTACGGATGGTACCAAAATTTCTGATTCGGGAAATGTTGGTGGTCGGTCGAAAGTACCGTTGTACCCTCGAAGGTTGGTCCTATTGGTCCTAAGTACTGGGAAAAAACGTTTGTAAAACGACCTCGACGAGCAAATGTTAAACATCTGGCATGGAGAAACAAATTTCGGTATATGACGGTTTTTGAAATGTTATGGCTATTAAAGGCTATTTCTGAGATTGGAATTTGGCTGTTGTCTGAAGGTCATAAAGGAGAGCTCGCAACGCGACATGTATATGTATCGAAATAATTAAAACTATAAAACGTATAATCATCATTATCCGGGAGCTGATCACGCTTAAAATTTAATCAAACTTTGAAACGAGAACATAAAACTTAAATGTAAAGTTTTGTCGGATGACATGCACGAATCATGTTATTTTTCTTCTTGAGTCACATCGCTGAGTAAGGCCGTGCAAAGTCAGTGTACCCTAGATTGTAAACACTAGGATACGGTCTTACTCATCAACACTAGGACTCATCCGAGTACTACTAAAGTAGTCATCCGGCACCCCTTCCCCTCTTACTACAAACAGATAAATAGGGACAAAACCCCGAAAAAGATCCTTCTTGCGTTCAGCCGAAACTAGTCCAGCCGATATTAAACTAGCCTACGCCACCAACTCGAGTTCTTCCTTAGACTCCAACAGTTTCATTGAAATTCATTCAGCCGTTTAGACGCAATAATGTTAATAGCATACGTATGTACGTGCGTAAATAGGCACAGAAAAAAAATTTCTTTTTTTTTAATAGTCACAATATGATCAGGGGGTCTTAAAACGTGTATTTCCGCTAAAAAAATTTTCGAAATTTTTTTTCATTATGGTACTTTCCTTATACCTTACATAGGTCGGAAAGTAAAAATACTGGGGCAGTCGAGACTTGGAATCATATACCAATTATCGCGAGGTCGTATTTCGGCTGTTCCTCTTTTACAAGAACAAAAAGGAAAGGCTCAGACTAGCGTTCTTTATCGTTTTCCCGAAATTGTGCGAAGTGCCGAGCTCACATACCGTGGCTCGTGCGGTAGTAAGTATGCCTGCTATTCCCACCACTCCGTTAGATGCTAAGGAAGTTCGTCGTTACTAATGTCGACGACGATACATTCAATTATGCCAGATCTGGTGGCTACACTGGTGCATGCGTGATTCGCCAATGGCGAAATCAGTAATGTATGATGAAATTTAAAGTAATTATAAAATTAGTTTTTGAATGGAAGATTTTGTTATCGATCTCCAATGATTTAGGAAAAATAGAATTAGCAAGTTTAAATATCGATGAAATATAGACATCAAAACATGTTTCCAAATTTATAAATATTAGTAGTAGTTCTTTCTTTTTCATTTAAATCTAAAAGTTGAAAGGATATTTTCCATAGTTATTATAAAAAATAGAAATTCAGTATCTAATTTTACAATACTTTATTCAGATTCATACGCATATAGTCGAATTTTGTATTATGCACCTTAAAAAAGTATTATTTTGATTTTTAATTATGAAAGAATATATGGTTTTATTTTATGAATACTGATAAAATTCTTGTAACTCTATGAAATAAAATTTGTGTTTTAAGTTACGTAAAATTGATATTCTACACTATTATTTTAACATTTTTCTTTGCATTATTTTCTTCTTTACCTATATAACTATTTCGTATAAATTATGTTACATTTCATATCATTTTATAAATAAAAAATTATTTTTAAATCCAACAGAATCTATATACAATATATACTGCATTTCATTTTCACTTTACATTCTTTGTTAATTTTTTAATAAAGGATAAAGGTAATTTGTAAAATATATATATATCAATAATGAACAAAAGATAAATATGAAATAGTTGAATCGGTTAATATTGTGACAAAATTAAAAAATATAGTGTAAAATGTTGAACTCAAGTTTTGTTCGCTACAGCGATAACAAATGCATTCGTTGTAAATAAAATACAAATTTTTTCGATATTTTTGTTAATTATATAAAACTGTTTTATTTCTTTAGTTCTTATGTTACATTTAAAATATTATTTTATTTACATTCAATTTATTATTTGTCGTTTAAAATAATATTTCATATATTTTCACTTTAAATTTTTCTTAACACTCTACGATTCATGTTGGAAGAAAATCAAGTGTAACGATTTTGTACAAGTTGGTAGCCCTGTAACTTGTTATCTGATCGTTCTTGGTCATTCCAGTTTAACAAGTAAAAGTCACGATCTCCAAACGGTATATAAAAGTATCGACAAGAATGACCGAGTCTCAATCGAAGAAAGCCAAGATGACAAGCTCATTGACGCAACTGAAGGAAATCACGACAATTGTCGCCGATACCGGTGACTTTCAAGGTGAATAAACGAAACATCAAACGAATTTATAACTAATATAGATATGGGCAAAGGTGAAGGTGACCATCAGAAAGCATGGTAGAGGAAATGTTTGTGGCGCACTTTTAGTTTATCTCCTAAATATTAAAAATCTGTTTTTATCTTCTAAAAGAAAATATCTATTTTATATCTACTCATATAATATATTTTTTGTTGTAAATATGTGCGAATATTATACAGAATGTAACAAATTTTCTTGAAAGAAATATATTAGTTTGAATTCAGATTACGTTATAGGTATAGTGGTAGGGGAAGTTACAAAATCGTCCGATATTACGACTACATTTTTTTTCTTGTAATTATTCTCTTCGTTATTCTGATCTTATTTACGAAAAGTTAATTGGAAAGAGAAATTAATTGAAAATTATCTTTGATTATTTTGGAAATTTTTAATTGTTCCTTGTTATCGGAAATTGTTATTTTTGCCTAAAACAGAACTTAACAAGAATTTGTATGAAAACCTTTATTATTTAAATTTTACATCTTAATTGAGTAATACTTTTAAAAAATATTATTAACTGATTTTATTTCTTCAAAACATTTATAGATTAGTTAATTATGATTTTCTTTTACTATTTTACGTATTAATTGTTAAATTATACTTTACTTATTTGAATTGTTTTATGATTAAAATTATTATAAACCAATATTGCTGTAATATTGAAAATAAAAGTAATCTATTACGAGAAATTTATTAATGAATTTAATTTATATATTATTTTCAGCTATGGAACAATTTAAGCCAATAGATGCAACTACAAATCCTTCTTTAATTCTTGCTGCAGCTAATCAAAAGAAATATGCACACTTAATAGATAAAGCTGTACAGTATGGAAAGAAATCTGGATCGTAAGTATTTTTCATATTATAATAATACATTATAAAATGTTATTGTAAGTATTATAAAAGAAATAATATATTAGTATCGTAAAAATCAATTTTTTATATTTTAATGTAGATCAACCATGTGATGTTTTAAAAGAAAATTTATATTATTTTACAATTATTTTAAAATTTATTTAAATATAATATATACTTGGAAATGACAATAAAAACAATAATACATTAGTACTAATTAGTAGGAGTATTTCATTATTTAATTATTTACATATATTTTTATACTTAATTACTATTGTATTTAGAAAATTTAAATTAGATTCATTTAGTAGCTAGATTTTTATTGAATTTATACAGTATAGTAAAAGTTGATTTAAGACATTATAGGAATTATAAAGCAATAAAGATATATGCAAATTAAAAAATGTATGTATCAAAAGGAATCAAAGTAAATCTAAATGAAAAATATAGAGAATTGTACGAAGATTAATATTAAGAATGGAAGAATAGTAAGATTTAAAAAAAAAATAACAAATAAAAGGAGGAGTGCAAACAAAAATGTTTGAAAAGAAAAGTACTATTCGCTCAATTACCATAATGCAGTTTTAGTGGTAATAGATACATCAATGTAATAATTTTATGTCTACAATAATATTTTAATTGAATGAAATAAATTAAAATTAATTTATTTGTTACAGCACTTTGCAAGAACAACTTGAAGCAGCCTTGGACATAACATGTGTTCTCTTTGGTAAAGAAATTTTGAATATCATACCTGGAAGAGTTTCTACAGAGGTAGATGCTAGGTTATCTTTCAATAAAGAAGCTAGCATTGAAAAAGCAAAGAAGTTAATTGCTTTATATGAAGAAAGTGGTATAAATAAAAATCGTGTGTTGATAAAACTTGCTTCTACGTGGGAAGGCATTCAAGCAGCAAAGTAATTTTCAAGTACTTACTATCGATAGGACATTTAAAGTGAAGTTGTAATTAAAAATTATAAAATTTACTTTTGTAGAGAATTGGAAGAGGAGTATGGAATCCACTGTAATTTGACACTTCTATTTTCTTTTGCACAAGCAGTTGCATGTGCGGAGGCAGGTGTAACTCTTATATCACCATTTGTTGGTAGAATTCTAGACTGGTAAGATAATTAAACAATTTGAAACGTTTAAATAATAAATCTAGTTTGATCAGTGTTATATGGATACTTATAACACATAGTTCTTAATTTATGAATCATAATTATAATTATGAATGAATGAAAATTATTGTTCATTAAAATAAATGTACAGGTACGTAGCAAATACAGACAAAAAATCTTATCAGCCTAAGGAAGATCCAGGTGTTGTATCTGTAACTAAAATTTATAATTATTATAAAAAGTTTGGATACAAAACTGTTGTTATGGGTGCATCGTTTAGAAATATTGGTGAGTATTTAAAATATTTAATTTGTCTCCTGTAAAATTAGTATAAAAATTAATTGTAATGCGATAGATACATCATATAATTTTTATATTAAGGTGAAATTAAGGAATTGGCTGGCTGCGATTTTTTGACCATAAGTCCAAAATTGTTAGAAGAGTTAGAAAAAAGTAATGAACCAGTTCGCAAAGTTCTTACGATGGAAATGGCGAAGAAGTCTGATCTTCAAAAGATCAGTTTGGATGAAACCAAATTTAGGTGGTTACTTAATGAAGATCAAATGGCAACAGATAAATTAAGCGAAGGCATTCGCAAATTTGCAGTGGATGTACGCAAACTGGAAAAACTACTTCAAGAAAAAATTCAATCTTAAATATGAACATAATGCTTTGTTTAAGAATGTTTATGTAACGAAAGTTTTATTGTAAATAATAGTACCTTGAACTAACAATTACTTGTGTTTCAGTGTATAATACATTCCATTCTATGTATTTATAAAATGATGTAGGAACAATGTACATATACAACGACATAGATATTATAACGTGTATATTGTTAAATAAAAATGGAATTTTAGAGGGAAAAAAGTTACATTTTATAACAATTATTTCAAATAAATATCAATTTTTCAAACTATCTATTATGGTATATTAAAAAATTTTAATAATTTTTAAAATCGAACGTAGTATTTTTGTAACAATAGACCCTCAACGCGAATATAATACATTTAATTAAAATTTATACAGTTGTAAATATGTCTTTTTATAATACCACATTATCTAAATGTGAGTTTTTGAAATAATGTTATTAAATTAAACTATTTAGAACCTTTAATAATAAGTTTGAGGTGAATTGAATTTGAATTTTATAATAGTGTTCGATTAATCGAGGTTACGTCTTACGTTACGTATTCGATTCGATAAATCGAAATGACATAATAACATACTATTACTGAGCTTACTGAGCTAAAATTTTTACCGAATATAGAAAAAATATATTATAATAGTGTGTAAATTATAATAAAATATAATAAAATGCCGAAGAAAAAGACTGGTCAAAGAAGGAAAGCAGAAAAACAAAAATTAAGGCAAAAAGAAATTAGAACTGCCAAGGATCAAATAGATTTAGCCAAATTTCCTTGCAATGCAGTAATGGCAAGTAATTGCATACTATAGCATATAATTAAACAAGAATTAAGAGTTAACATTACATAAAATTAATTAAAATTATAATGAAAAATGAAAAATTACTAATGATAATATTATGAAACAACATATAATGAGAAATTTATAATACATCAGTATTTTTGTATAGTAAGTTTTAATTTGTGATTTTGTACATAGGAATGTGATAAATGCAACAAGAAACAGAAAAGCAGAGCTTTTTGTTATTTCTGTCAAAGTGTACAACGGTTACCTATGTGTGCCCACTGTGGAAAAATGAAATGTATGCTAAAAACTGGAGATTGTGTTGTTCGTCATCCTGGTATATTTACTACTGGTTTAGGTATGGTGGTAAGTTGTTTTTGTATACAATTAATGTATTTTATAAATTAGAATCGAAGTTATAAAGAATAAGTATTTAATAGGGAGCAATATGTGATCATTGTGAAGCATGGGTTTGCCATGGAAGACGCTGCCTTACAACTCATGCATGTATGTGTCCATTAGTAGATGCAGTTTGTCAGGAATGTGAAAGAGGTGTATGGGACCATGGTGGTAGAATATTTCGATGTTCTTTTTGTAATTGTTTCCTTTGCGAGGACGATCAATTTGAACATCAAGCATCATGTCAAGTTTTAGAAGCAGAAAGTTTTAAATGTAATGTTTTAAAATTAATAATACAATACAATTATGCTAGTATTTTTATATTTTTTTCTTGATTTATTACAAAAGAAATTATTACTTTTAGGTCAATCGTGTAATCGTTTAGGGCAATATTCTTGCTTGAGGTGTAAAACATGTTATTGCGAAGATCATGTTCGAAGGAAAGGGTTTAAATACGAAAAGAATAAACCTATACCTTGTCCCAAATGTAGTTTTGAAACATCTCAGACAAAAGATCTTAGCATGTCAAGTAAGTAAAATTAATGCCATTATTTTATGGATGTATTAAATGTCATTCATATTTCATTTCAAATTCCATGTTAACAATATATTTAATTTCTTCCATAATTATCCATTTTATCCTATTGCAGCAAGAAATCATAAATTTGGTAGACAAAATCAAAGTGGAACTTGTGACTCTGACGATGAAGATGGATATAGTTATTATGGTAAAGAATTAAATTAAATTTTAATCCTTTGCGTTCGTATTAAATTCATACTCAGGTGTCATGCTAGTCGGAATTAAATGCCTAATTACTAGGGATGTGCGAGACCCCGAAAACATCGGGAACCCGATGGTCGGGACGAATCGGGAAGAGGTCGAGTCGGGTCGGGTCGGGTTCCCGATAGTTTCGAGACTTTTAAATTTTCGGGATTCCCGAAAAAAGTCGGGATTCTCGAGGGATTCGGGATTCTCGAAGGAGTCGGGATTCTCGAAAGAGTCGGGATTCTCAAAATAATCGAGATTCCCGAAAGAATCGGGATTTCCAAAATTTCCGAGAGCCCACTAGTCATTTATATTCGTTTTAATGTATACAGGGTGAGTCTCCTAACATGACGACCTCAAATAACCCAGACCTAACCCAGACCCTAATATCTCAATAAAAAAATAAGTTAATAAAAAACAGATTAGAGCACTGTATGTTCCTCTAGATACCATGCAACTTTTGTTTCAAACATTTTTTCGTACAATGAATACCTTACGAGTTATTTGAGGTCGTCATGTTAGGAGACTCACCCTGTATACATTAAAACGAATATAAATGACTAGTGGGCTCTCGGAAATTTCGGAAATCCCGATTCTTTCGGGAATCTCGATTATTTCGAGAATCCCGACTTTTTTCGGGAATCCCGAAAATTTAAAAGTCTCGAAACTGTCGGGAACCCGACCCGATCCCGAAAAAATTTCGTGTTCTCGACCCGACCCGATATTTCGGGGTCTCGCACATGCCTACTAATTACATTTAAACACAATTTGTGAAATGTTATTTCGAATTCTGTGTATCTCCGAAGCTTGTCAATATAGTATAATATATCAGTATGGTACTTTGCTGTGGTGGCTGAGAGCAGACATACGATTAATACGATAAAAAAGTATTGGTGGCTAAGAGTAGAGATATGACAGCAAAGGTCGTAATAGTTTATTGTTTGTGCAGCCCATTGCATATGTATGTATTTTGCTTTTATTGCAGGAAATCAATCTCAAGATTATGGTTCTGAAAATTATACTGTTGATGATGATGAAAATGAAGATGAAGAGGAAGATGATGGCGATGACGATGACGATGAAGAAGAACAAGAAGACGAGTCATTAAGTGAAACTGAAGAAAATGGCAATAACAAATTACTTCAAACTTAATATGTTAATAAAAATAATACTTGATAATATTTAAAAAAACATATTCATTAAATACAAACAAAAAATAAATATAATAAATTGTTGTCTTTATAAAAAAATCAATATTTTTTCTTAAATTTTAATCGGTAGTACAACTATGATAATATATAACTAACTTTACATTTACAATTTCTCATGTATGTATAATAAAATAGGTAAAGGTAAATTAAAATACTGGTAAAAACTGACAATTTTTATAAACAAAATGTTAAACAATTGTATAATATTTTTCTAACTTTGCCTTTGAAACTTTTATAAAGTATTAAATTTTGAATATATTCATATCATATAAAAAATGTGTGAAGAATAAATATAGTAAAAAAATATATCCGTCTACGTGTACTAAACATTTAATATTAACACGTGAAAATAATATTACATTTATTACACATTGTCTTTATGTAGAATAATTCAGAATTGTACAAAACAATGAATATGTATGATCACATATATAAATACATCTTACACACGTAACGAGGTATATTCGGATGGGAATGCAAAAGTATGTGAACCAAGGGCATTAACACTTGGTAAAAGTCCAGCATTTGGTATAATATTCCATGATAATGTTAATGTTACATTTTTATTCCCTCTGAAAAAATTAATTTATTTACTTCTTTGTAGCACCGCTTTCTTCTAAAGCAGAAATTACTTAACAATAACAGACATTACCTTAAACCATTACCATCATCCCAGAAATAGTATTTTGTGTTCATATTCTTAAAATCAAGTACAGCTTTTTCACCACGAAGTAATATTTTATCCCATAATACTACCTGAAATGAAAAAGATATATCATTTATATTATGTACTGAATTTGTGAGAATTAATACAAACTAAAGTTATTTAGATATTATAGTGTTAATATCATACCTGATTAAAATCATTATTTTCTGTTTGATATTCAGCTGTGAGATACAAGAATAATTGTTTCACATTCCAGTTAAATAATGGGGTAAGATGTATATTTATGTAAAGAAAATATACATTTTAAATTTGTGATACTGTTCAACATCTAAAATTTATACTTCATTTTTAATTACTATATCATCTGTATTACATGTATAAAAAGGAACCAAAATGTTTTATACATAAATCATGCAACTAAATACAGATAATTAATCAATATTTTTTGAATTTGAATACTGCATTTTATATAAACCAAAAAAATACTTATAAAATAAAAAAGGATATCAGTTTGTAAATCGAATGTTAAATAACCCAGATCATTCTTTTCTCTTGACGAGCTATAATCTGGCAAATTCTTTCTGCAAGATAAAATGTAGATGATTATTAAACAAATCATTTGTTATATGTTGCAACTGTAACTTTATATTTTTAATTACTTATTTATATAAAATATTATATTAAACTAATAGTTCAATTTAAGTAAAAACTTTTTTTTAATCTTACATCTTATATTATTTTTAGAGATTCTAAGTGTTACAAATAAATGAATTTGAACTTAAAACTCAATAATGAAACAATCAAATATGGAAAGGAAATAGATCATGATTAAAAATAATAAATTAAAAAATTAATTTTTCCTTGGTCTGGTATTTATGGTATTTATTAAAATAAATTCACTATACTTACACAAGTACTTTTACAGTATTTAATGTTGCATTTGCTCTATAATCGATAAATACAGTAGAGAGAAAACAACAAAATGTTAGAAACGCTGAAACACTCAGTGTATACGCTAAAATAACATTACCACGCGTAAGAACAGTATGCATCATTACGCTTTAATATTACCGATTAAAATGCACAGAATTGTAATTCAGTAAATTAATCGATTCGAGCACATATCAAAATATTCTAACCAAAATCATCATCACCTCGACTTTGGTTTCTACGTCAGCAATTCGACACGGCAGATCTGGGTTGGTGTTCAAAAATAAGTGAAACATCTACGTGGGTACGTTCGTAAATGAAACAAATTTAGTTACGAAGATTGCATATTGGTGGTGTTATGTTATCACGTGAACGTAGGTTTAATGCACATAGCGCCACAACGGGAATTAATTGTAACCCGATTATTCACCGTCGAGTGCAGAGTCATGTAACTGCGTTTTAGTTAGGAGCGAAATCCAAACGGACCGGCGTATTGTAATAAACAATACGATTGTATGTTTTTCAACGTGGGCGATTAAGCTGGGGAAGATAGAGAGAAAGGAAGGCACTTCTTTTCAGATACTTAGTTTATTATCTAAAGGCCACGACACATCGGAGTTTCCGTCGTTCCTTCTTTTTGTTTATTACGGACCGTGCCAAATTAGCTATTTCCGTTAAGAGTTTCAATGGTCTTGACCAGAGATGCCAGAAAAGCACCGCCGGGTGCACACGCACACATGCCAGATACGCGTACGTGAGCTCGTGGAGTTTCGGAAAGTCGACAAAGGCAAACTGACGCATGCCCTCTTTCTCGATTCTCCGAAGCCGCCCGAAGTAATTTCGGATCGCCTCGTGGGAGTCGAGAGAGCAAGGCTCACATTTGCCTTCTCGCTCTAAACAACTGAAATCCGACCTCCCGTCAACGGCATACGATTTGGATTCTCGACTGGCCAGGCATTTTTACTTTCCGACCTATGTAGGCGCACATAAGCAAAGTACCCATAATGAAAAAAAAATTTTGTAAAATTTATTTTACGGAAATACACGTTTTAAGACCTCCTGATCATATTTTAATTATTGAAAAAAAAGACATTTTTTTTTATTCCCATGTATGAGCACACATATGTATATTATTAATACGATTTTTGAAAATCAAAATACTTTAAGATTGAAAATTAATAAATTAAAATGAGATTCCACTCTTTACCAGTATTGTGCACGCTGTGGTATTTTTCAATAAGAAGAGTTCTTACTTTTATAACATAAACAAAACAGTAGAATTAATAATTGCAGAAATTAATTAATAATGATTTTCCTCGATTGTTTTGAAATAACCGTATCAATTGGTTATGACGAACTAAATATGTAGAACTAACTAGAAACAAAGGAAAAGTGATCCCGTTTGCCAGTTTAATACAAAGTATGGGTTGTATCTTAAATTTTAAAAGGACATAGTCGAATATTTTTAAAGGTACAAAACATAGCGTTTCATTGTAGAACAGTAACATAAGTTAGCAGGTAATGTCATAAAACTGTTTTTCTCAGCTATATCCCTTTTTACCTGAAGTATAAGGTAAAAAGTACGAGCTACAAGGTACGACTATCCGAAAATCGTTCACATTTTATCAATGTAAATGAAGCGGCCTTTCCATCAGAGTTAGATACAAAATTTTGTTATTTCTGTGAAAACAAAACTTTCAGTAAATGTACGTGGTGCTTGAAATTTTTATGTTTTGACTGTTTTTGTGAAAAGTACCATCCAGATTCATGTACTTCGTACATGGAAAATAACATATGTTAAATGTAATCGGTTAAATTTAACTTTAAAAAAAAATATTCGAAGGTCAGACAAAAATATAATGTCATATTTAGTGTACGATTAAAGTATGATTGAAAAAATAAAAAAAAAAAGTTCAAGCAGGGTTCGAACCAGCAGAGCAGAAGAAGTTCGGAACTTGCAGGCAAAGACCTCATCACTCACGCCACGCTGACTAGTGGTGAAAACAGTTCTATTTCTGAAAATAAGTACCTGTAATAACTTTAATAATATCTCAAAGTAAAACCTAACCCAAAACCTGGTACCATTCCAACTTTTCCTTGTTAGAAACGAGTTTTCAATTTGTCTTAGCGAAAATCGCAATCACATTTTGCACATTATTCTAAAACATTTGTGGTATTCGTTTTCAATGCGATTTAAGTAAGCATGTAATGTATAAGATTTCATTTAATGTTTTCTTTTCTAGAGAAGATAGAGAAAAAGTTTATATAATTTTTTTTATATAAAATTTAATTCGTCCTAAGATTTATATGAAACATTTAAAAGATTTTTTATACATTATGCCTATATATCGGAACAACTATGAAACAAGAGGTATAATCTGTAAGGAGTGTATGCGTGGCTAGGAGAACCGTTATCGTTTGCGTCGATAGGAGTGTTTAGTCTAAGCTAGAGTAGGTATCGAGTAAGGTGTTTAGGTTTAAGCTGAAATACGTTTTAGAGACTGCGTCTCGAACGTGCGTTTTGTTTAGATCATTATTATAAGATAGGAATAAGGAAGGGTCGACTTTGACTGCAGGAACGTCACTCTGTATCGAACGTTAGTCGAGAGCAATCACAGTTTTACGTTTATGATCTTTTACGTTTACGTTTTATGTCTTTCTTTTATGTTCTTTATGTTAAATAGTTAGTAAATATTAAATAATATAATTACATCGTTACGTTTAGTGTTCACGTATTTGAATCCGTCCACACGCCTTTGAAATGAGAACATAAAACTTAAATGTAAAGTTTCATTTAAATTCATTCAGCTATTTATATTCAATCGTATTAATAATATACATGTGTGCTCATACATGGGAATAAAAAAAAATTTCTTTTTTTTCAATAATTAAAATATGATCAGGAGGTCTTAAAACGTGTATTTCCGTAAACTAAATTTTACAAAATTTTTTTTTCATTATGGGTACTTTGCTTATGTGCGCCTACATAGGTCGGAAAGTAAAAATGCCTGGGCAGTCGAGAATCTCGGCTCGAGAATCCAAATCGTATGCCGTTGACGGGAGGTCGGATTTCAGTTGTTTAGAGCGAGAAGGCAAATGTGAGCCTTTCTCTCTCGACTCCCACGAGGCGATCCGAAATTACTTCGGACAGCTTCGGAGAATCGAGAAAGAGGGCATGCGTCAGTTTGCCTTTGTCGACTTTCCGAAACTCCACGAGCTCACGTACGCGTATCTGGCATGTGTGCGTGTGCACCCGGCGGTGCTTTTCTGGCATCTCTGGTCTTGACACACAGCAGGGCCTCGCGACACTTCGCTTCGAGTTTCGTTTACTTTCACAAGGGTCATAAATTTTCTTAAGGGTTGTTTAGGCCGCTAGCCTCGTTTTCTCTCTCGACTCCCACGCTCTCTCTCACGCGCGCCCGCTCCAACATGGCCGCGTAACCTCCACCTCCACTCGGCTCGGGGGTGGATCATCGATCGAAGACGATCCGGATAGATGGGGCAAGGCACAAACCCCGATTGGACCAGGACAATTCCGGAGAAGGGATGAACACCGAGGACGACGAGAAGATTTCCGCGGAGGGACAGATCGATTTTGAAAGTCAACCGAGTTGTATCGAACAATCGAGACGAAGACGAATAAACTTTTACCAACCCTTTTTCGAACATACTTAGTAGTTTGATTTTTGCGCGCCTCGCCGAGCAGAGCGCAGTGTGGCCAGATCTGGCATAATTGAGTGCATCGAAATCGACAACAGTGACGACGAACTTCCTTAGCGTCTAACGGAATGGTGGGGATAGCAGGCATACACTACCGCACGAGCCACGTGTACGTGAGCTCGGCACTTCGCACAACTTCGGCAAATCGATAAAGAACGCTAGTGTGAGCCTTTCCTTCTTGCTCTTGTAAAAGAGAAACAGCTGAAATACGACCTCGCGATAATCGGCATACGATTCCAAGCCTCGACTGTCCCAGCATTTTTACTTTCCGACCTATGTAAGGTATAAGGAAATTTATAAAGTATCATAATGGAAAAAAAATTTCGAAATTTTTTTTGAGCGGAAATACACGTTTTAGGACCCCCTCATCATATTGTGACTACTACAAAAAAACATATTTTTTTTTTGTTCCTATGCTATTGACATGATTGCGTCTAAACGGCTGAATGAATTTCAATGAAACTTAACATTTAAGTTTTATGTTCTCGTTTTAAGGTCTCATTATATTTTAAGCGTGATCAGTTCCCATATAATGATGATTATACGTCTGTAGTTTTATAATTATTTCGATACATATACATCATTTGTAACAAATTTTTAAAGCGATTTATATAAATCTTAAGAAGGATTAAGATCAAATATACTTTTCTCCTATCTTTCCTAGACAGGAAAAATTAAACGAAATCTTATGCCTTGCATACCTACCTAAACCACATAAAAAACGTATTCCACAAATATTTTAGAATAATGTTGTTCATAGCAGTCTTACTCGTAAAGGGTTAATTAAGGGTTAATTAAAATGAAAAAACAACTCTTAGCCAGTACCGTGCACGCTACAGAAATAGATTACTACTGACTTTTCCCACTATGTTTTTTAATAACCGTATCAAATTGTTACACACAATCAAATGTTATATATTTGACTTAACTTTACATAACAAAATAATTGTAACGATAGGTAAAACAATAACGTGCACGCTACCGTTCAATGGAAACCACGGGAAGGTGGTGGTCACTTCCATCAGGAGGGAAATGTAAAAAATTGTTATTTCTTTGTAACATTATCACATGCCATATATTAAAATGTTTTTATTAATGTAATGAAATTACAATATAATGAAAAACTAACTCGTGAATGCATTAATTTTTATTAATATACACACGAGCCATAAAAATGGAAAAATGATATAATTGTTTACATTTCCAAAGGATGGGATGTTGGGATAGGACAAAATCCAGAGGCCAAAGCATATCTTTATTTTCTAAATTACGCTCTTGAGTTTTTTTATAAATTTAACATTTTCTTTCAAACTCAAGAGACAAGAATTCATTTGTTTCAAAAGACTGCGGCAGAACTTTTATGCGATATATTACGCAATTTTCTGAAACCGCAGCTTTTGAAACACATGGATTTAGTAAGAATGATGAATTTTTCTGTAGTCGAAAATCAACTCCCATTTAATAGTATAAATTTAGGAACAGAGTGTCTTAATTTTCTGCATCAACTGAATGCAGAAGGCAAG